TTTTCATAACAGGCTGTAACTCTACCAATATTGGTGCCGGGCAGACGTCCAAGGTACCGATGGAAAGCTGCCGTCGCGTAGAACCAGACCCCTGAGTATCGGATGCCGCGCCAGAAGGATACCTGAGGAATCCTGCGTCAAAGTTAGCACTTAATGAGAATCTCGCTAACTTGGCAAAGCAGGCAAAGTAAACAACTAAGTCCGGAATGCAGGGGAGCTGGCATGGGGGAGCCGGTAGGCGGGGAGCCGGTAGGGGGGGAGCTGGTAGGGGGGGAGCCGGTAGGGAGGAGGGGGTAGGAGGCTGGTTAAGGGGGAGCAGCTGGCAGCTGTGTTTTTTCACTCCGAATCTCAGGATGGTAACTACTAGTGGTAGTTGGCATCGCTTACCTCGGATTTAATCTGGATGTGGCGCTTCCTAGTATAAGCACTAGGACGCAACCTGACTTGGCGCCCAACAACCAGACACACAGGACGCAACCAGACCTGGCGCCCGAGTACCAGACGCACAGGACCCACAGGATGCAACATTCTTCCTACTTGCGTCAGGACGCACTGCCCGTGCACCTGACGCAGGAATAATTTTTGCTGATGGGTACCAGAGTTGAACACATGACCTTATGAGTTTCCTCACGTAATAATCAGATTGTGCTAGGAGGTCTGTAAAATCATATGGGTAACACTATTGATAGCTGGAATACAGGGGTCTGTCATACTACATTCAAAAATCGGATGAACTAAATGGCCTCACTAACTACTGGGAGACGATATTAACTCTTTCTAATATTATTTTTAGTATAATATGCTATTCCCAGCTGTCTCCCTTATGTTCTCTACAATTCTCTGCTCTCTTCAGTAATCCCTTACCATCTGAGTCCCCAGTAGGCTCCTATTATTTCAAGCAGGCCTCTACCTTCCCCCATTCCCCATAATTCCTTGCCATCTCTCATAACTTTTCATCATCCTTGATAGTTCTCCACTGTGCTTAATAGTCTACCACTGTTTGCAGTAGTCTTCTGCCATTTCCAGACCAGTTCTCCCTTACCAGTAGTTCTTTGCTATTCTTAGTTTTCCACTACCATCCCTAGTATTCCTCTGCTATCACCAGTGATCCCTTGCCATTCCCTCTATTAATACTGTTTTACCTCATAGGACCTGTGTCTGACCTAAAGACAGCTATTATCTACTTTTACTACTTTGAATAGACTGTACCTAGCTACTGGACCCTGTTCTGTACTCTTAGTAGTTTCTCTGTAAAGTTTCATACAACTCCCAACTTGAAACAGTCCGAAATACTGAAGGTAGGAGTGTTAGGTGTAAGGGTAGTATTGTAGGCAGTAGACTAAAAAGAACTATAAAAGTCTATGGAGAATGAATGTTCTAACATACTTAATGTGGTAGCATATAGTCTATTTATTTAGATTCTTATAGTTAGAGAAAGAAAGACTTACCCACAATACAGTTATATGCTGGATTGGATTCTCTCCTCCCATATAAAGTCCTTTGTAGAAATTTCTCTAAATCCTAATCTCTCACCAACATGCTCTACTGTCATACAAATTTGTCAATACCTTCACCAAAGACCGACATTCTCTGAAAAACCACATACCAAGTATATTATCTACATGGATAATGGATTTGCAACAATTCTACTCTTTGAGATTCATTGGGAGATGGGAATCAGTGCTTGTAGTATATCTTAGATCAATAGACTAAAACATCCTACAATTCTGAAGTCAAATGATCAGTTTCTTAACTGGGATAAAAAGGATGGATGTATTGTTAGTAGCTCAGCTAGTAGTGGAGAAGTTTTATGCTTGTGTTGGATGAATAATAATATAGTAAGAATGTTGAGTACAGTCCATCCATGGAATAAAGTTACACTTTCCATGTACAGGAAACCTCGCAGTACCAGCCCTAATACATTAATAGTATGAGGTGCTTTTGGAGATAAAGAGCATTTGGCCTGCTTCATTCCAATAGCTATTGATCACTACAACCATTATATGAATGGTATCGATCTTGCTGATCAGCGTTGAGCAATGTATATGACTTACCAATATGTATGACAAAATTGGCTCACATTTTTCTTCTTTCTTGATATCTTAATTACCACTACACATAGTATTCTTTTTCTGATGACCTGTAATAAGACATTGAATCAACTTCTTGATTCAAATAAGCTTGCTGGTAGTGATTTATTATTACATTCCCTTGCTCAACCTTATCTAGTAGAACTATTTTGGCATACCATTTATTGGGAACTTTGCAGTTACTCAATACCGGATGGAGAACTTAACTATATACCAAAGAGAACCATGTGCCCGGCATCCCACAGTCAGAATCCCCCCTACTACAAACCACAACCCCAGTGCCTTTTACAATCCTATAGTTGCCACTCACAGCGGATTTATTTCACAAAGTTTAGCAATTTTTGCTAGACTTGAAGTCGAGTCAATACTCTACATCACTCTACACTGGTGTCTTTAAACTCTCTACCAACTGATGCTGGCTTAATACATGGCTCTTCTGCCCCCCCCCCCCACCTTCCTACTTCCAAGCCAAGGACATTTTCTTGTTTCCATGAAAGATCAGAAGTGACACCAGTATGTAGTTTGTTGATATCACTTTCGTAATAGTCACAGGATTGGCCAGTAAAGACCAAAGCTAATGTGATTCAAATGCCAATTCTGTTCTCCTCTGATAGCTCTTTGCAGTTCCGGTAGTAAGTTGGATGGCACTAGTTCTGATTCCTGCTCTGCTCAATGGCCTGCTAGGGTAAATGATAATATTAATTTATAAGACTAGTAAGTACATCTGACTGAACAGAACATTTCCCCAAAATAAATTTAACATACTAATCCCGAAATACTTTACAGTTTTAACCTAGCAACCTGAAAGTTTGTATTCTAAACATGTTATGTTACTTCAGTATCAGACCTGCTTGCTGACTTAAGTTACTATTATACAGATGTACCGGCCAAGAGTAGTTTGTTATAAATTTATTATCAAGCTTTTAAGAATGTTCTGACTATGTCCTTTTATTTTAAACCCTGTTTGGAAATGAGTCTTCTGTTCTATTCCTCAATGTGAGCTGCTCTTTACTTTTTTTTTTTGGGACCTGCTGCTGTGGCCACATCTCGTGGTAAAATCATTACTGAACAGAATGGTCGATCTGTCTACTATTCCTATCAGGCCAGTCCCCCCAGTTCTCAGAATTCACTGCAAACATTTTCTATTCCTGTTTTCTCATTTTTATGCTATTGCTAGTTCTACTAAGTGGTATCATATTATGATGGATATCATTGTGTAGAGGATTTGATGAGAGGTCACTTGGTAGCATCACAATATTTAAAATCGCACGTGTAGTAGCTGTATCAAGTTTACTCTCAGTGACAAATTTTAGTCTTACGCACTAATGCATGAGAGACATTTTGCAAGTCCAGCGCATGCGTCCGGGGGATAGCGGGGTGCGACTGTACGATACACAGATGAGAAATATTAATAACCAGCCTACTTGAGTAAACCCACCGCCCACGCTGTTCCTGATTAAGAACGTTGGATCTGCGCACCTCATCACTGTTCGATCTTGTTATCAGCACCCGAAACCATCACAAGGCACCCAATCAGTCTGCTATGGCAACCCCCAGAGATCACAGGCGCTTGCCCTTTTTTCTCGATAGGACTTGGTGAGGAAGTTCATTCTGTCCCATTTCCACGCACGTCTCCTGCTCTCTCATTCATACCCCCCGCGCTAACAAAAGAAAGAGCTGCCTCTCAAAGAACCCCTTCTCCTTCCTAGCCTTCGCGCATCCCACTCCCTCACAATGAACTCTCCCAATGCCTTCCCAGCCCCCACCATGCCCGCACTCCAGTTTCCGCAAAACAGACAATCGACTCTCCCGCCTTAATCCCGCCTTCTTTCTTCCTCCCTTCCTTCCCTCAGCCTCTATGCCGGCGACCATTTCCCAGCGACGGACAACAACGGGTGACGACTGTGGATGGGGGCCTCCGGGCGACAAAGAGCGACAATAATAGCAACTGGAACGGCAGTGTACAATCGGCGATGATGACGGATAACGATAGTGTGCGAGCGGGAAATAGTGATAGCATGCCGAGCTGCATTTCCAGCAGCTTCCAGTACACATGTACCAGCATCCAGTCCCAAGATAGGTTCGTTGTCTATGCTGTCCGGAGGCTACCTGGGACGTATATTCCAATATTTCTGGGCCATCTCTTTGGCTGGCTGTACAGCCCATTTGGACACGATGAAATCAGGTTTGGAATGGCAATTGCTAGCAGGGTATGTGCCTCACCCCATACATACTGTACATGCATGTGCCCTTTCATTGGCTGACAGGGCTTGATGTGGGTGGGATAGGTACCTGAAGGTGAGGCAGGATGAGGATGGAACTGAAACCTGCATGAAAAGGTGGATAATGGACCGTATATGGAATAGCTATAAAGAGATGAGAACGATGGGCAGAGGTGTGAGTTGGTGGCTCCTGATAGCGCACCGCCTCAGAGGGTACCTCGTCTGTTGATCCCCGAACTCGCTATCACATTCGACATAGTAGTCGATAACCAAGTATGTGCCTCACCCCTTGAATCCATACATGCGCCCTATATCCGCTGACAGGGTTTGGTTTATTCCATTTTCCATCGCTGGCCGCCCTTCTCTAGAGGCATACCCACTGCCAATGCACCTCCCCCTGGCCATAGCATGAGATACAGGTAACCTCGTGGCAATGCTGTTGAAATGTACGGTATCCTATTCCTATCCGGTGATGTGGCTGTGTTGGTCATGTGACACAGTCATATGACCGATGAATGTACTAGTAGATTCTAGCAGGTTCTAGTTATTTCCTGGGTATGGGACAGTGCTCGTGTAACGATAAGAAGGGTATATATAGGGGTGCAGTTTTCCTTCCTGTTAATGCCCCCAAGAGGGCCACCTCAAACCAGTCCCAGCCTGCTGCGCCGCATCCCCCCTCCGTTGTTGCTGCTGCGGCAACCAGCACCAAGCCTCCGACCGAGAATGTCCTGCCCGCCCGGCCCCACCCCAGCGGGAAGAAGCCCCAGAGGTTATGGACACCTCTGCCCTCCCCGCTACGCCCAATGAGCCCCAGGGGAACCAATGCCCTGCCCCCCTAGGAACGGTAGTACCTGGCCCACGTCAACGCCTCCCCCGTCGTGTCCTCCCTCCATCAAGAAACCCACTTGCCTTCCCCCCCCCTCCCCCTACCTCCGGCAACCCACCCAGACCCCTCTTCACCCCAAGCGCCGCAACCAGTACCTCCCTGGCCCCAGCATTCCAGGCCCTGAGCGAAGAAGAAAGGGCACGCAGGATGTTCAACCCCGCTGCTGTCCCGCCTGCGCCGCGGTTTAACGCCCCCCCTCCACCACACCAAGAGGACGAAAATGTCTAATACACCAACCCACGAGAGTCTCTCAAATGCCTCCTCCTCCCCACCCTCTGGCCTCACCGGCCCTCTCCCCTCCCTACATGTTTGCCAACACAACTGCCTCGGCAGTTGGGACGTATTTCTTGCTTTATTTAATTGTTTTTCTTCTTGTACTTTTCCACCTCAGATTGTGGCCCTCCAGGACCCACCCTCCCGCAACAACAGCCTTCCACATTTCAGTGGCTACCGCTCCCTCTCCCCCCCGCTCGATGGCCCTGAAAAGCCAAGAGTGGTATGCTACATCCTCACATCATTTATGGAAGCCGCACAAGTCTCCCCACAGTACCTCTCCCCTGGCCAGATGGCCCTTAACATCCTAGCCCCTGGGGGCATCTTCTCACCAAGGTTGCGCTCCCTCACTATTCTCAACAGTTACTCTATAAACAAAGGCACCAGTGCCATCCGCTACTTGCTCCTCCCACGGGACATCTTCCCCTCCTCTGAATCCCCACTACTCTCCTTGGGCGACCTCAACATCCACCACCCCCTCTCGGACCCCCTCCGCGAAATTGACTCCCACGACCTAGGAAGATCAGCTCCGTACTGTGAGAGGGCAGCAGACAAAGGGTTTTCCCTCCTCAACACCCCCGGGGAGTTCACCCGCTTCCCTTTCAGCCCAAACCAGAGGCCGGGAGTCCTTGACCTGGCTTTCGCTAACCCTCCTCTGGCCCCCTTTGTGGAATCTTGGTCAATGCCCTTCCCCCACACTGGGTCGGATCACCTAGCCATCCTCCTCTCCCTCTCAGCACCCCTCATTCGCCCGCCGCCGCCGCACTCAGGTGGGATCACACTGACTGGGGACCGCTTGCCCCCCTCCTCCAAGACCTGGCCCTCACTACCCCTCCCTCCAGCAAGGAACCTTTGGCCCTCGAGGGCTGGTTCAACCACAACTACAAAACGATTACCTACCTCCTCACCAGTCACACCCCAACATCCCGCCCGTCAGTCCAGTCCAAGCCATGGTGGTCCAAGGCCCTCTCATCCCTGAGGCGCATCCTCCACTCCACGGCCAGAAAACCTAGGGCTCACCCCAGCCTCATACTCCGGGCAGAATTCAAACGAGTCCGCTGCTCCTACCATAGGGCCCTGAGAAAGGCAAAGAAGGCACACTGGGACAAGTTCCTAGCCAATGTGGATCACCGGTCTATCTGGTCGGCAAGACGCATGGCAGCAGGCAAACTGCCTACCAGATTCCCCGCTTTCCCTGGCCTCGAAGATCCGTCCGAAATCAACAATGCTCTCCTCTCCCATTTTTTCCTCCCACGCAGCTTAGCACCTTCCGAGCCCACTACAAGCAGCCTGGCACAGGGTTCCCCCATCACGCCAGAAGAAGTGGCACTCGCGCTGCGTTCCGCTTCCAACACCTCAGCACCAGGGCCTGACAGGATCCCATATGGGGCTTGGAAGGAAGTGTCCTGGGTGGCCCCCTTACTTATTCCATCCCTACTATCACCACTCCTCCAGTCAGGCTACCACCCCACAACAATGAAACAGGTAAATGGCATCGTGCTCGACAAGCCAGGCAAGACGGACTACTCGTCTCCAGCTGCCTTCAGAATAATTGTCCTCCTCCCCACCTTGTCCAAGATATTGGAAAGAATAGTTACAATGCGACTGGCCCCCCTTGCGCGGGACAAAGGGCTCCTCTCCCCCCACCAATGTGGCTGCCTTGCTGGCCTATCAACCTCGGACGCTGTAGGCGCCCTCACACACGAAGTAAAAACACTACAGAAGGCGGGCCTCAAGGCCTCCTCACTTTTCCTGGACATCAAATGAGGTTTCGACAACATACAAAGTGGTCTCCTTTGCCCCGCCTCTCCCAAGGTGGGATCCCCCAGTACCTGACATCATGGGTGGGAAGTTTCCTCCGTGACAGGTCCTGTGCCCTCCAGTTCCAAGGCTCCGCGAAGACCATAGCCGCCGTCTCTGTTGGGACCCTCCAAGGTTCCCCTATCTCTCCTCTCCTTTTTGTTACTTATATTTCACCACTCCATCCCTCAGTCCCCAGGGGGCTCATACTCTCCTATGTCGATGACATTGCCATAACAGTCGCCTCAGCATCGCATGAGTCCAATGGGGCCTCCCTTTCAAACACTTTTGACTCGCTTTCAGCCCAAGCGGCCTCCCTCGAAGTCTCCATTTCAGTGCCCAAAACGGAGCTAGTCCATTGGAGAACCACCCGGGACCACTCTGTCCGAGTCGCCACTCCCGTTGTTTGTGCGGGGTCCCACTTTCCTCCCTCTCCGCTCATCTGCTGGCTCGGTTTCTGGTTAACAGAGACCCTGGATACCAATGTCTATTTCAACAAATACCTGCCCCTGGCCCAAGGGGCTTTATCAGTTCTTCGCCAACTCTCCTCCCCCGGGAAGGGGGTCACGCCCGCACTTAATAGAAGACTTGTGGTCGGCCTCATTTTTCCCATCCTCACTTATGGCACGGACCTCCTGGTTCCCACAGCTACCCTCCTCAGAGCAATGAATGTACTTTGGAATAAGGCGCTCCGCTAGATCACCAACTTATTCTCCTCGACCAACCTCAACATACTCCCGCTTGAAGCCTGCCTCCTCCCCCTAGCACTGGCCCTGGCAAGGAAAAGAAGGCTGGGAGCCCTCTGCCTTGCTTGCACCCCTCCAGAAACGAACCCAGCGGCGGCCCGTCTCCCTGCTGACTTCCCCTCCCACTCCACCTTCCGAGCGGCAGATTGCCCACGGCGCTTCCTCAAGGGACGGCATGGGACGGACCGCTCCCTCCCCTGGGACATACCTAAGAAAGCTGGCTCAAACAGTGTCCACCTCCCCCTTGACGCACTGCTCCACACCCTCTCCCCTCTGGACCACGACGCCCTATGGCCCCCGCCTCGGGGAAGAGCCCCCGTGCTTGACCCTTACTCTCCCTCCCCTCCGCCAGACGCCATCTCTAGACTGAGATTCTGTATCACGGCTCTCGCCCTCCACGATTGGCATTTCAACCTCAATACCCCCCCCTACTACTTTTTTCTCCCCTCCCTAAAGCCCCACCCCTTCATGGGCCTACACCGGTACACTACGGGACGGCTACACCAGATGAGGGCGGGCAAAAGCTACCTGGCCGCTCACCCTTCCTGGGACACGGCGGACCCCTCTCCTACCTGCCTGCAGTGCAATGAGTCAGATAAAGACATGGAACATGCGCTCCTGCAGTGCCCAGCCACCCAATTTCTAAGAGACAGATACATCCCCGACCTCCAGTCCGTCGGCTTCGACGCCCCCCTCTGGGAGGATACCAGCATGCTCCTGGCCCTCTCCTCCTTTATCCATGCAGCTCGCATCAACTACCCCCCGTCTCGAGCGTGGCAATCGTCACCCCCTCCCCCCTCGCCCCTACTACCGCCTGCTACGCCTGCTGGGTTTCCTGTGCTGGGTTTTTGTTAGTTTGTTCGGTGGATGGATTGTTCTTCTTGCGCAAAGATCATGTGGGTGGTTTGTTTTTCCTGTTAATGAAGGATTCAAGGTGGTTTGGCCGCTGTTTTGGATTTATTATGTTCCTACTTAGTTAGTCACGCGTATGTGTTGTGCATTTCGAGCAGTTACCTGTTCTCAGAGTATGGGCCCAGCCAGTTGGGATAGTTTTTTGGAAAGGTTTCTTTTGTTATTTGTTTGATTTGAGAGGGTTTTCTTTACGCCATAGCCTAGCTGCTGCATGCGAGTTCTTGTACCCTAAAAAAGAATATATGACATAATTAAAAAAAGAAATTTTCCTTCCTGTTAACAAGCTTCGCCCCCCATTCATACCCAGTCATTGAAATACAAACTTCACCGAAAACTTTGTTCTTGCTCTTTGCCTCCAAAAAACTTGGGTTTTTTCACCTCAGTGGTGGTGAGATACGTGGGTTCGCCTAGTAATCGGCCCTGATGGCGGACGAAATGAGCAATGCCTACCCAGTCCCTCCTCCCTCTGCCTTCGCTAGGCCCCCAGGAAGGACCGCCAGCTCCAGGTCCCTCAGGGCCTCTGCTTGAGCCTCCGGCAGATCCTTTCCCCTTAGCTCAAGAGTTGTTTCCCCATCCCTTGGGTCAAGGGCAGGTTCTCCTGTCCCCCTCAAT